TGAGTTGACACGGTCTAGTGAGATGACCGGTTCTAGCCATAGAGTGCAAGGGGACTCAATGGCTTCTTTGATGAGCACTTCGAGGGTCCAAGGAGGAAACAGAGTTTTCTTGCTTTCAAGGAGATCATGAGCCTCCTTCATCTTCCTCTCCTTGGCCTCGGCTTCCCTGACTATTCGAGCATTTTCATCCAGTTCTCTCTCTCTGGTCTGCTTCCTGACCAAGCTGACAATCGGCTCTTGATCATCACTTTCATCACTGTCGTCGGCAATTTGTTTGGCTTTGGCTTGAGCACTCAAACCTGATGAAGGACCAGATGTTGGTTTGGGTGCTTTTGGAGGGACAAGTGATGAAAGTGGAATTTATTGAGGGAACTTGGAGGGGGTTTCTGTTGAGCTGTGGACTTCTTCTTTTCTCCCCCTTGTTTCGGATGGTCCTCCTGCTCAGGAATGCCTTCAATACGGCTAAGAAGGGCAAGAGCAGGAGCGAGCTTCTCTGCAAGACTTCGCCTCACCGAATAGTTGAGAATCGGATCATGGGCTTCAATGATATTAGACAAAGCTCCGTGGACATCTGAAACACAACTCCTGACCACAGCTTTCTCGGACCGAAGAGAATCGATCTCCTTCTCGGCCTGGGAGAGCTGATGAGTTGCCAAGGTAAGCTCGGAAGACTTTCGGGCAAGCTCTTCCTTTGTGGTAGATTCGGCGGCAAGAGTGGCTTGGAATGAGAGAAGACGATCCGCAACCGAAGACTGAAATGATTGGTTGTCTTCTTTGAGTTTTTGGCGGAAGCTGGCAAATTGATCTTTTTCCGTCTCGAAGGAATGGACCAGCTTCTCCACAACGGTGCGGATCTTCTTAGTGTTTAACTCTGAAGCCGCCTGTAAAGACTCCAGCCAGATCTGGGCGTCTTGAAATAGTTTTTCGACTTTTTCGGTCGCAACAGCACTAGCCTGCGTGGATTTATCAATGGCAGCAGCAGCTGTGCTGATAGAGGCTTCATGTGCTTTGTAAGTGACTCCACCATACTTTGAATAGCAGCCTCTGAAAAGTGAGATGTTGAGGAGGAGGAAGAAGCCACAAGATTGTCAATCTTCTCGTGGAGCTCCTTGATGTGCTTTTTGGTGACCGGAGCATCATCATCATCATCACTCTGAAGTTGATAGGGGCTGTAGTAGATGGAGTCAAAAACGGTATCCTCCCCTCCCAAAAAGGTTTCGGTTTCAGCAGATGGAGTGGGAGATAAGGGTGCAGTGGGTGGTTCGGTAGTGATAGTGGGTTCGGGTGCAGATGTAGGTTCGGGTTGTGAAGTAGAAACCCCGTATCAGATACGTTGGTTAGAACCTCACGGGTGGTAGTGGTGGTGGCTTCTGTAAAAAGTGGTGGGGGAAGGGTGGTTGATGTGGTTTGAAGAGGAGTAGTTATGGGGGGAATGGAAATAGGGTCAGATATGGAGGGAATGGAAATGGAGGAGGTTATGATGGGAATGGAAGAGGTGGGTATAGGAGAAGGTGAAGGAGGTTTTGATGAAATATGTACCTCATGATCAGGGGAGTGAGGCGGGGTTTCGCCTCTAGCTGACTCATCGGAGTCAGAGTGGTTCTCTTCCGAGTCGCTGGAGGAAGAGGAGAGAATAAGTTTTCTCTTGGGTTGGACTCTCTTCTTCTTTGCTGGTGGGGAAAGATCTGGTTTTGAGGGTTTTCGCTTCTTAGGAGAAGGACCCTTTGCCCCCTTTGCTGCTTTCTTTATCTTCCCTTGCTCGGGTTTCTTTCCTCGAGCAGCAGGTTTATCTGCATCATTAATGGACTGAACCATTTCAGCAGAAAGTTCCCTTGGGCCCGAAGGACGAAAGTCCTTGTAGGCTTTCATGATGATGCTCTCCTTTGACACCCCAGCGGACATAGAGTCCGGAATGGATCCGACGAAAGAAAATTTTGTCGGATCGGTGACAATAATTTTGGTGGTGTGGAAGACGCTGATGTTGGAGAGAAGGGAACCTGCAACAGTAGGAACATGAAGTTTATCCATGGCCCACTTGGTGATGAGCGTCCAGAACCTGGCGTAGGATACCTCAGTGTGGCGAGAGGAGGAGGCAAGGCTCTGAATGAGTTGCTGCCATAGAACCGAGCCATAGTCGAGGTTAAGGCCGTGATAAAGACCATAGAGAATGGTCATAAACAGTTTGCTGGCCCCATCAGAACCAGAACTACGCTCGGAGAGCCCTTTGAAGAGAATGGTGAAGAAACCATTCCATGGAGGAGGGAGACACGATTTCTTGAATTTTGTGACCGTTGTGAGAATCTCCGTGTACCCCATATTGTAGAACATCGAAAATAATTGCCCGACGGTAATGGTGTCGGGATTAACCCTAGATTCATCGGCTTCAAAGCCTAGGAGCCAACAGAATCGTTGCTTAGAGATGGAGGTCTTGTGAGAAAGAAGATCAAAGTAGATGCGATCCACTGATCTGTCATAATGGGCTGTGGAGAAGACCTGGGAGAGGCATTCCATTGGTACAAGCTCAACTTTGGAAAGAGCGAGCACCAACGGAGAGTATTTGAGGCACTCCACCATGGGATACATGTAATTTCATAAGCCTTAGGGTTGAGATCAATCACCAGACTTTGTTGGCACGGATTGGAAGAATATTTGTGCGGGAGGAGGTTTCCTGTACTGATGAAGAATCCGCCATGGTTGAAGGTAGAAGATGATGAACAGTAGATGAGAAATCGTCCGATTTTGCTCGTTTGAGTTTTGAATGTGGTAAATTGGGAATGAAGCAGATGAGTTCCTTTTATACCGTGGGTAGAGGAGAGAGAAAGATCATCCCCAAATCTTCTTGATACAATAAAACGGTTTCGGATTTGACTGAAGCGCGACGGTTGGCACCCCCGATGATTACGCAGGAGAGAGAAGAACTGTTCCGTTTTGCACGCGTGCCCATCACCTCACTATTGAGGCCGTTACTCTGTCGGCTGAGTCAGCATCTTATCTGTTTAATAGCTGTCATCCAAACATAAGATTATAAAGTAACCGAACGAGAAGTTTGGAAAATCAAAGATTTTCGTGCATAGAGTGTAAAAGATAAGGAAATAAAGCGAGATATATAGGGGAAGAGTGATGTCAAATAAGACACAAAACAGATGATCCCGGGCACGAATCACTTTCTTCAAGGTCAAGAGAGACCTTAAAGTGTTTGTATGGATTCCCGTTGAATTACGATCAAGCACTTTCTAAGAAGTGTTGAAAGGCATCTTTTTGTTAGCATAAAAGGGTGGCTTTCTCTTCAATTTAGAAACCCGGACCTTGACATAAGACCGAGACTAAATGAAGTACTTGTGAGACCGATGTGGTCTGTTGAACAAGTAGGCTGGATAACAGATATAGTGACTTGGAAAAATATATGATGGTGAAATCTCAAAAAAAAATTTAAACTGGATTCTAAGGGAAGAAATGTTATGGTAAATAACAAATTCATAAGAATCGCACAAACAAAGAGAGATTTCATGTTGACCGTCAATTCATGATAGGTAGTGAATTTTGGGTTTCACTAAGCACGTAGTGACACGTGGCTTAGATCATAAACACAGATATTTTGTAACCATAAACCTCAGTGGTTAATTCTGAGAGTCTCAAGGGTTACGATATGGGACCGAAATATGATGGAGAAGAGTAGGTGGTGAAGAAAACGATAGTACCTCTGCTGAAAATAGTGACCAAGCAGTAAACTCTCAACTCATATGAGAAAGAGAGTAAGGTAGCTCAGGATTAGAATAAATGGAGCAGCCTTATTGGGAAGACAAGGTTTGTATATACCTAGTCATTAAGGCTTTTATTCAAAATCAGTTGAGGCTTTGGACAACATGCAGCAGCATGCTTCTAGGGACGCTTAACTAGGTAAAATAAAGAAAGAGAAAAAAAAAAGAAAAAATAAAAAAATAAAAAAAAAAACCGAACCCGAAATGGACCGAACGCTCGGTTCATTTCGGTTCCAAAAAAAATTTTTGGATTTTTGGAAAACAGCTTTAACAAAGGGAAAAGAAACAATACAGAATAAAATAATAAAATAATAATAAAAAAAATTTTGAACCGAACCCGAAATGGACCGAACGCTCGGTTCATTTCGGTTCCAAAAAAAATATTTTTGGATTTTTAGAAAACAGCTTTACAAAGTGTACAACCATAGACAACACCTTTTTGAGATTGAGCAAAAATATGTGTTATGGGACCGAACCCGAAATAGACCGAACGTTCGGTTCATTTCGGTTCCCATGTGAACCGAACCCGAAATGGACCGAACGTTCGGTTCATTTCGCTCCTTACTTTTTAACTTTGGGATGAAGTCTTTGGTACGATTCAGATTCCATCATTCCTAGACCATGAAGGATTTTATTGAAACTGGCTTCAGGTAGGCTTTGGTGAAGATATCTGCCAGTTGATCGGTGGTCGAACAAAGTGAATTTCGACATTACCATCCTCCACATGATCCTTAATGAAGTGATACCTCAGTGCTATATGCTTGGTCTTAGAGTGTTGCACTGGGTTGTGACAGATCCTAATTGCACTTTCTGAGTCGCAATATAGTGGGATCTTTTTCATGTTAAGTCCATAATCCCGAGCTGGCTTTGGATCCATATTACTTGAGATGTGCAGGAGGCGGCTGCAATGTACTCTGCTTCGGCTGTAGAAAGGGAAACGCATGTTTGCTTCTTTGACTGCCAACTGACCAATTTCCCATCAAGGAATTGGCAACCCCCTGTGGTGCTTTTCCTGTCTAAACCACATCCTCCAAGGTCTGCATCAGAGAAGGCTTGAACGAAGAAGCCTGAGTTGGATGGATACCAAAGACCGAGAGAGGTAGTTTCGCTTCAGAT